ATGAAATGTGCTATACAAATAAACTTGCCTTGCCTTGCCTTACATATATTGCAATATGTGGGACAGAATTAGTTACCTTGAACCATTTTTCAATGAATTCATTCTCTGGTATATTTAAAGCTGCTCCCTGTTTACCTATTATGATGTACTGGGAGACCATCTCAATTTGCTTTCCCTTTGTTTCTTTCTGCCATTTTTGTTCTATTTCTTCATCTCTCTCTGGATCATATATCATTGTGCAATGAAATTCTGATTTTGGTAGCTGTGCTTCAGGAATCTGTGCTACAATAAACTTACCCCACTTATTGACTGTCTGTCTCACATCTTGTTCTATTTGTCCTATCCAATAGACATTAGCTTTTGGCTCTGCAACTACCATTTGTGTTTCTGTTCCTATTGCATCTATATATATTCCTTCTGGAGAACACCAAATTTGTAGCCATAATTTACATAAGGCATCCCTTCCTAACAAATTGATAGGAGTTTGATTTGATACCAGAATGGGCATTGTTATACTTTGATATATGCACAACATCTGAAAATGCACAAAGGTGAGAAGAAAGCAATGTGTTTAATGAGAACTTTCAACCCACTGAAAAATAAGCAATATTAAGTCAGATGCATTTTTATTTATTCTTGTTATTCTTATTATTCTTGAAATAAGTTATAATTACCTTGTGGTTTATTGATGATTTTCAGTCTCTGAAATAAAAAAGTTCTATCAATTATGGATGGCATCATACATACATCATATGTAACGATATTTAATATAAGTTCTAACACCGTGTCTACAACGGACGGCGCAACAAAATACAATAGATTTATTTGGTCATAAATAAAAACAGTAATGTTGTGAAATATTCTTATTATTTAATAACCGTTTTCTATGTGAATATATTGTAAAATGTAATTTATTCTTGTTTTCACAAAGCATGATTTCCTTAAGGATCATGTTAACACTGAAGACAGGCATAATGATGCTGAAAATTCAGCTTTGATCACTTTTTAAAACATACTGAAATAGAAAATAGTTATTAAAAAATGGTAATTTCACAATATTACTGTTTTACTGTATTTTAATCAAATAAATGCAGCAGTGGTGAGCATAAAAGACTTCTTTCAAACACATGACAAATCTGACCCTTAAACTTTAGGTAGTGTATGTTTGAGGTATTACTTACTAGTCATATGGTTCATAATGTCTAGAGATGTTCTTCGACAGGAGATACGCTCTAGTCTAGTGCACGGCTACACAATCTAGCAACATAAACAATCTGTCAGAGTCAACAATATTTATTATATAATGCCATTGCCAGGTTTATTATAAATAAACTATAGCAGAGGTGAAATCCAGAAAAGAAAAATAATAATTTACAGAATATACAAAAAAGGATTTAATAACAGAATGTACACTTTTAGGTTTACTTATTTAGTAATGCTCTTACAGTGTTACTTATGTTTGGACATCAAAGCCCTTTTAAAATAACTAACAAGTAAACACACACACAAAAGAAAATTACAGATGCATGGTGATATAGGCGAAAGATGTTGTGAAATATGCATATAAAGTTATTTAATAAGCTTTCTCAGATCACCTGTGTTTTCTATATCTCTATCAGCAGCTCCCTTCAGAAATTTTAAAATCAGGAACTTCTCCTGTGTTTTTTTTCTTCTGAAATCACAGAACAAGTGGTATCAATATGTTTAGCATGAAAGATCTAAACCTCTTTTAATTAACGTAAGTTTTAGCCCATTTTCAGCTCTATGTAAGTGATGTATCCGTATCCGATTAACTGTACAGGTTAATTTAATTAGCTTACTTCCATTCATCCATTGACAAATTGCCAGCAAAACATTTATAT